GCCGTAATAGTTAAAATTATACTAAATATGACAATAAATTTGTTCAATATATAATAAAATATATATTTTTCTTTCTACTTTACAATAAGAAATCATCTGACTGTGTTCGGAAGAACAAATGCGGATTTATTTAAATTTTAAATCTATATTCACTTAAATTAAATATTAAAAAAATATATATCTTTGTCTTTCGTTTTATGAAGAGAATTTTAAATACAAAAAGTAGTTCAGTCATTTTGCATGTGTTTCTAACATAGTGTTTACTAAACGTTTAATCGATGTCATATGTTAAGCTTAGCAAATATTGTCATTAGATATTGTCAATCAAAACAAACACATTCTAATGATGTTTAGAATACGTTACTTTTATTATTCGTCAGTAAGTAGATCCGATTTTATTATGGGAAAAAGGAAGTTATGTTTACTTTTGTTTAACACGCAACAAATTTTTTAAAATAATTTTTTTAAGTTTTATTATTCTTGATAAAGAACACTTTTATAATACCACCCGGGACTGTCTGAATTCACGACGGGCCCGAAAAGAGGCCCTCGATTTTCACGTGGGCAATGAGGAAAAAATCCAACGCGGGTCCGGCTGAGCTGACAACCGGGTAATGAGGGACGAGGCGACCCTACATACACTGGACCGGACCGTTCACCCCTTAGAAAGTTCTTCGGCCCGGATCCAATTTCGGGTATTTCAGAGTGATAGGCCTAATATTTATAGAAATGGCCACGGTTTGAAAATTTATTAGTGAGTTTTACGTAATATAAATTGATTTTTAATACATTAATAACACAAAAAAATGCTCCTTATGATAGATATGCCTAAGTAACAAGAATGGGGAGAGCTTTTGATGTTTGAGTTGTTGGCAAGTTTCGGTCTAATGTTTTCAACTGTAATTATCTTAAACATTTTTTTTTTTTTTAGTTTAATTTGCGAAATGATAAATGGTCATTTTTCGATAGTGCTGATGGGGTTGTTAGTTATTTATGGAACTGAAACTAACCCAGAGCCATTGGAGAAGTCTTCATTGAGAAAGAAGAGAACGCCAAAAGGTTTCGGTAGAAATGTTAAAGTGTCGATTAGATTGGAAGTCACAGACGAAAGGAGTGATGCTGCAGCAGGAGTTTAGATGATGTGGATGATAGAGATTTTTGTTAATCGAAGAACGGTATTTGGGATAATATTGACTCATACAGGTTTGTTTTATGCATCCTTTAAAACATTGATTAATTTATACAGAAGAAGAGCTAGATCTAGTTAAGCAAATGTATTTAGATTTGATACACGATTAGGTAATTTAGGGTCTAATGTAAGGGAAAAAATGCAAAATAAATCTATTGAGATATAAAATGTTCGCAAAACTTAATGAGTAAGTCGGGTAAAATATTAAAACCCTATATAAATAACCATATCTCGTATGAAACATACGAGATATGGTTATTTATATAGGGTTTTAATATTTAAATAGGGTTTTATTACAGAGAGACCCCTTTCCCTACATTTAAATTAGTTAATTCAATTGATTAATCTAGCGCCATTTTCTGCTATTCAGTCGAACGATTTAAATTACTCATATTACTTTTTCGACGTTGAGGATGAATAACAAGATAGCTTTAAGTTATTAATGAGTAACTCGTTCATAAAACGTTTAAATTATTTATAGGCTTCTTTTCAAGATCGGGCTATTTATTTTCGTCATTTCGATTTAGAGCGGAACGGCTTTCGTGCAGATATAAAGTTGAATAATAGACATATTTGTGTTGGATCTACATTTGTTCTATTATTTAAAAAAAAATGTAATTTTTGAGAATTATAATGTGATACGGGACATTTATCGCGTGTGTTGCCTTTATAGTATACATGGTGTAATGAAACTTCGTGCCAGTATTTTAGGGATAGATTCTAGGATCGAAAATAAGCATAAAATCTTCTATAAACTTTTCCCAAAGTTTGCTTTCGAAATCTGTCTTCCAAAGAAAAGATTCTCTCGAATTCCCGCCAAAGTATTAACACTATAGTTACCATATTTTTAAAGGGCCTAGACGAATAAGCCTGCAAAAAGTGCCCTTAAATTTTTTATGTAGCATATGAGTCTCGGGGTTAAACCATAGTATAGCAATTTCCAACTTTTCAATCCTTTTCGCTTTAAAGAAATCAAGTATAACGTGGTTTTCAATCTGTTTTCTTCAATTTATAAACATTTTTAAAAGAATTTTTATATATTGTGTCGTTCACATTATCATTTTACACGTAAAAAACTTTTAGATTTATTGGCATGAAACCTGAATTTAAAAAAGTAAATAAAATGTTAAGTGTCTTTTTCTGGTCGAAAATATGGCAGTACTGTCTCCATTTTTTAAAGGTCGAGAGGGTGGGAAGATAAAAGGGAGTTATGTGTGGTATCTTGAGGAGGATCGGACTTAATGAAAATTTTACTCGTTATTGTCATTTACAATATTTTTGAAAAAACCCATCTTTACCCTCAAAATTTTTTTGGTTTTTTATAATAATTAATAATATAAAAGTTATTTTTGATAACATATAATATATAGCAACACATGTAATTTTAACTTTGTGCAAACGTGTCTTAGTGTTTCTTAAATATAAATTTTTTAATTTTTTTTGCTGGGGAAATTATGTAACTCGTTGCTGGCTTTTTGTTTTTAGAAATATGGACGGTAGTTAAAAAATTAAACCGATTTTTCAACAATTAAAATTTTATTTTTTTTTCTAAATTGTATTAAAAAATTATCGCGAAATTTCTTTGTAACTACTATTTCAATCAAAAACGTGAAAAAAGTAATACGGATTTCCCAAAAGATTTGATAACAGCTTTACTGTATTGGGATAATTGTTCTCGTTCTAATTCAAGAGGTTGTACGTGCTGGTGTTCAAGAAGTTTAAAAGGTTACTGTTGTTTTATTCCGAAATTAGGGATGCCACGCACTTTATAGATGTAAGTACGTTACATCTCTAATTATTCTCGGATATTTTAAATTTACGAAGAGTAGTGAAAACTTTTACAGTAATCATCAAGGATAATATTATATTTGATCTATCGATCTCGCTCTCTTGTTTGTAAGATAATTCTCATTTTTGGCAGCCATACTTACCGCTACTTAATAGAATCTTAATCAAATTAATGGAATGGCATTCTTTCAGATCTTTAGCTTTTTCATTACATTATCTAAAAAAACCTTTCCTTACGAAAGTATTCGATAATATCTAATACTGTATTTCTACAAAATAAAACTAGAGATTAGTTTTTTTTAACCTCTGTTAAAATGAGGTTTTAATAGCTTTGTTAAGAGGTCTGAATAGAAATATCATATCATCATCATTATTATAAGAATCAATACTAACAAAAGTTCTCATCTCAAAGATGTCAACATCATAAGGTCGATTAATATAATTATACTGTGTGTGTAATACATATATATATAACCTATAGAATCATTCTTCTTCAAAAGAATTAAAATCAATACATTTTTATCCAGAAAGAACTTCTAAATGTATAAATATTAATTTAAGGATAATAAGTTTTTATATTTTATTATATTAATAAATTTTAAGCGAAACAAATTGAAAATGCCATTTAATCATTATAAAAATATTAGTGTTTATACTTTAAAATTGGTGAATGGTATTCTATCTAGCCACGATCAGTGCCCGATTAGCCACTAGGCTGGCCCGAGGTTCCGAAATTGGAAAAAAATAAAGCAATTTTACCGTTGCAAATGTATATTGTAATTTATAAAATATTACTTTTATAACTACAATTAAACGTTATTAGTTTATGACGTGGTAAAATTATATAGAGAGCCCCAATCTGATGTGCCTAGGGGCCCGGAAGGTCTTAATTTCGCCGCTGGCTGTACGTATTATTGAATATAATACGTGTTTTTATATTGTATAATGATGCTCGTAGACGGCAATTCAGTTCTTCCATCCGTGATTACATAAATAGGCAACATAAATTACCAGTGCTTCATTTCAAACTTAGAAGAAATTCTTATGAATTTTAATGTAAATTTTATAGTTTTGTTATTTTATATTCGACATAAAAACTATTATTATTTAAATCAATGTTATGCATCATATTTCAGTCAACTGTTGACATATATACGTATATATACACGACTACAGTCGATACATGAATATACATCCCCAGACTATTAAAGAGCTACGATGAAAATTAGAAGTGAAAGAATACAGCAAATTTAACTCATATAAATCATATATATATATAGATTTTTTCGGTTGAAAATATTGATAAATATCACGTGTAAATACTTGTAAAAGTTCCCATTTATATAACGTTTCCTAGCATATTTCAAGGACACGTCGGTTCATTGTTAATTATTTAAACACCCGAAAAGTCAATAAAAACCAAGTTCATAATGTTTTTAAGTGTCTATCGCTGGTATTATTAATAATTTGATAATTTATTAAAGTCTATTTGAAATGTATATTTCAATACAGTATAAATAAAAATTCTAGAAGTAGGTTTGTATCTAAATGCCAGCGCAAATAGAAAATACTAGATAAACTTGTCTAAATTTTTGAACTTTTCAATTCTTTCTCATAACGTCACATTACCTTATTTATATTATTAATTTATAGAGAGATACGGATATTTACTAGAATATATTAAATTATTTTGCATAAAATATTATAAATTTTATATTTTCTCCCAACAAAAAGTATTTAAAAAAAAAAACAACTCGAAAAAATCGATGTTTATGATGCGTAATAATATATACAGGCCTACCGCTTAATATATAAATCCAAACCGCATTGATTATTAAATAATATTTTAAAGACGTTTCGCAAAGAAATAAGTGGAAAATTAATCGCAATTCTTTATTTAATTAATTAATTACGGAGTAAAGAGCTAATTGTACTTTGTATCGAAGAATAATTTTGGTACTACTTTACGACGCGGAACGATAAATAGAATGACAGTAGAAATAATTCGGTAGAGCAGTCGACGTTTGAAACGGCGCTGGGAGCGAAAGCAGACGTTTGGAAAGTCAAAAATGAAAACGGGAATAAAATCTGTAATTATAATACGTAAAAATAAACATTTACGTTCGAGTATTTTTAAACGATATCCAGAAACAATGGTTAATTAATGACTATTTATAAAAACAAAAAAAATGGCTACAAAACGGAAACCTTCTCCCGCCAAGCAACAACGATTGACTGTAAGTTTCTTCCCTTTCTTTCTTAATATAAATTATCATTTTATATTTATTTCATAAATATTATTATATAAGTCTATGTAGCGCTTATATACTTATGTATAGTTTAAACAGTATACACGCGTATGACACATGTATATTATATACATATAATTCTGTATATTATAATAAATTAGGTTATTAAGTAACGTAGTCATACCTTTGTCCTAATTTTTCTTACATTAATAGAATAACGGGTCATTCAATTTCAAAATGTTTTAACCTTGTAGTGTTTAACCTATTTGCATTGTATACGAAAAAAAAAGGATTAAATTAATACAGTATTTTATATTTCCCTTATTACTCGTCGGTATTGAGAGAAAGATTGGTTTTCGGGGGTTGCGAGAAATTCGATTCGTTTTTATTATTATTATTATTATTATAAATTACAAATCTGTTGGTATATTAAATACCGGGAATTTTATCTTATCTCGTTGTGTTTCTCGTATATTATAAAGTATAAATCGTGTAGTAGGGTTAAAATTCTTCTATTGATTTCATGTATCGTTTGCATTAATCGCAATGATAAATTATATCGCAAACTTATCTTAGATAAGTGTTCGGAGTTTCGCATAAAATTCGTTAAATATAGCTCATAATTGGCAATTATATTTTATAATTTTTCGCTCGTAAAATGTTTCCGGAGAACTGAACAATTTCCGTTTAATTTCTGAGAATTTAAAATAGTTTTTTTTTTTTTAATGAAAAAATTACGGGAATAAATGAATATTCTATAAGATTAATGTCAACACAATAATATAATCTCTTTATTAACAGGTTGTTTTAAGAATCCGTCCAATATTCTCTCACGAAATAAATAATGGAGCCGGACACATTGCTCATAAGGTGGACGAGAAGGTAATTAATTTTGATGTATGATGATTTCGTAGTGGAAATTTAATAGACACACCCTTTTGACCTTGTAATTTCTCCTAACATTCTATTCCTGAATTATATATATATATATAAACGGTCCAGTTTTTATACAAAATGAATCATATTAAACTTACTAAATTTCAGTTAAAATGCTAATCGTTTTTTACTTTACATTATTAAATTTGATGGCATAAAAGTTCAATTATATAATTTTATAATTTATGCTTTAAAAATACTAATTTTAAAATATAATTTAATGAAATTTATTAATGCAATTAGTAATGTTTTAAATTGTTAATTAAGATTATTAAACTTTAGCATTTATAAAATGTAAATACAAAGTTTTGTAGCATAATTATTATTTTTAATAATTATTATTATTATTATTCAATAGTTCAAAATGTTTTAATAAATGATTTTAAAAAAATATATTTTATTCATTATTGCAAAAAAAAAGTGAAAAACATAAATGTTACCTTTGTTTTCTAATGAATTTTTTATATTTCATGGTATTTAATTTTAATGTAACAAAGTACAAGCATTAAATATGAAATGTAGCCGATTAATGGATACACTCACGTGGATTATTATGTCAAGGATATTTTAATTCAATAAATTGATGGCAAAATACTAATGGCATCGCGAAATCTATCGAATGTAATTAAATAAATATCTTAAGTGAAATTTCAGGTAAATTACTGGTGTAAATGGTAATTAATTAATTAATTATTATTTTTATATTTATTAATTATATGATTTATCTGAATTGGATGATTGAACTAAAAGTGGTACATTTTAAAATATTATTCCGGAAGTGATTACTATAGATCTAGTCGTGTCGTGATTCTCTAACATGAAGCAATACTGTCTTTATGGTTATAGTTGGGAGCATTATAATCGACCGACCTATTTATCTCAATTAAAAATTATTTAATTTTTATCTATAATTAAGTTTTTATAGCGAATTGTTTTTTTTTCATATTCGAATGTATAAAAATAATATCCCAAGTATTTGAACGTTAAGTTTAGTCGTTTGTTTATTTGCTACTATGACGACATCGATCAGCACGGTAATCATAACTCTATATTATCGCGAGGGAGGAGAAGGAATTTCTTCTTTTTGAATACATAACTAATAAGCCTATTACTCTCATTTTAAGCTTTTAAACTAAATTATGTATAGATATTGAAATTTTAATAAATAATAAACAAGCATTATACAGGTTATAAATGAATTTCTAAAATAAAATGGTGTACTGTTTTCGTAATAATAAAATTTATAAATGTGTAGTTTCAAGAAGCTCGGAATCAAATAGGTTCATTCCTATTATGTATAGAAATATTTTTTTTTTAAATTAAACACTAGAAATGAATAATTTTAATAATAGTTTTCTCTTTAATTTATATGCATGATATCAAATAAAAAGTCGAACGTAAAATCAAGCTTGCATAATTAGCATTCAGGAAAGACAAAATTATATTCAAATCAGATATGCTATGCCGTTTCAAGAGGTATGTAAACAATGCCAGCTGTTAGTTTAAAATAGGAAATAGTCCATTACACATTTATCAGTGAAGTAAAAGTGAATAAGATATCAAAAGAAAAAGATAAAAAGCTATCGATGTTATTGCAACAACTAAAAATATAAAGGGAGTAATTAAAAATCTGTCAAAGAGCAAAAAAAATATTTTCAGCATCGCACCAGTCTGTACATATGGTACTGTATATGCTCGTTAAAATATCTATCCAGGAACAAAAGAGTAATTCGTTTAAAAACGCCACAATAAATAATAAAATAAAATCAACCAGCAAAAGGTATACGTGAAAATCGCACAGTAATTTAGCGGCAATAAATAATTTTTTTTTTAATCATCAGACCAAGATGATGAAATTCACGAAAGGTATTTTGACGAATCGTATTTCGACACACGCCAATGTCTCCAAGAGTCAATGCGGTAGGTGATATTGCACAGCGGCAATATCTTACACTCACGAAAAATTCTAGAATAAAATAAAGCTTTTTTTTTCTTTCTTTTTGTATCAACTTCTGCAATATCTCTTTATCCTTTACAGTCAGAGCTTGTTCTTTACGCTATATCGTTTTAAATCGATTCCTTTCGGTTTAGCGCTGGAACGAGCCTGTACTACACGCGTACACTCGTGCAACGTTGGAAAGATCTGTTTTGCCATTGGACAAATGTTTAAGCGCGGATACCCTGCATAAGTGGTTACATTACGAGAATAATTTTCATCTAATTGAATATTAGAAATATAGTAAAAGTCTAGATCCTTAAAATTTACCAAGGATATCACGAAATCTATCGGAGTTTTCTGTTTGTCACTCATGCTGCAGATCAGGCTCACCTGTAATAGGCATAACTGTGGATGATCACATAGCCTTAGCATTTATAAAATATACAAAATTTGCTTTTTTAAACTTTTTAAAATAATATACTGCATTGAATTTTTTTCATTTCAACTTTATATATATATATATATTCACAAATCATTAGAATGTAAAATTATGTTTGTTTTTTTAACACTCAAGTATAATTTTTTTGTTCTAGAATTTTATAGTTTATAAGGGTTTTTTTAATATATCTAAGGTCCCTTTTTTATATGTGATTCGGATTTGCCCGGACGGGTAAATACCGGATGGTGTGAAAGCGGTTTAACACCCGTTTCCCCCATGGGCGTAGCCAGAGTTTTGTTATGGGGGGGCCTAGTGGAGGCCAACCTGACACAAAATTGAATTATTTCAAATTATTGTTCATTATTGGGCACCGAGCAATCCGTTCACCTTTTTTTAGTATTCAAAACTTTTATTTTAGCTTTAGGTTTTTACAAATCGACTCAACACTTTTTCGGCTGTGATTTCCTGGGGAGGGCACCAGGTTCCTTGGGAGGGGCCGTGCCCACCCAGGCTCCCCCCTCGCTACGCCCATGGTTTCCCCATAAAAATCATTCCTAGAGACATTCCTTTGGCAGTTCTTCCAATCTTATTTCATCAATCCTATTCTAATTATTGCGATATTGCATGTGCACTACTGTTTCAATGAGAATTTCTTACCATTTCGACTCTACTACTGCGAGTAGTAAAGTCTTCTGTTTTCAGATGTTTAGTCGATTTGCGATCTCGTCCTAATTTTTAACTAAAATTTCCAGATTTCTCAAAACGAAAAATTATTTTTCCAAGATTCTCAATAGTCAGAGGACTTCTTCGCAAATCTTTTAAACACAGAAATTCCTCGTGCCGAGCTGGCTTTTTTTTTTTTTGCTAGATAATGGAGTTATTGAGTTTAACAAGTAACACGCGATCGGGAAAAGTTAGTACCAGCACCGTTCATTCGTCGAGTAATTGCGAAGAACATTTTGCGACTTCTTTTCATATCCAAAATGTGTGATATGCACGAGAAGGGGACAGCACCAAATTTACCCTAGCGGTTAAATTTGAAGTAAAATGTTTTCCCGAAAATCAAAACCGCATACTTTGGCAGTATTTACATCAAATTTAATTAAGATTTGTCTAATATTGTAGTTCTTCATGCAGAGAACTCTCAATCTGCTCTTCAGTTACGGTTACTTTGTATATATGTTATGGGCCAAGTGATTAATAACGCATTGTTTATAATGCCCGGCCATTAAGAATAATGACTAAAATGGCTGAGCAGCCTGATAAATATTGATTAATTTATTGAATTAGTCAAACATCATGAATACAGCCATATTTCCTTTGGGCAATTTGATTTTAAAAAACTCCATTTTTTTCATTAAGAATATTTATTTATTTTTGTGAATCATTTCAAAGTATTTTAAAAACAAGATGCGATGTTTTAAGTATTATTAACTATATTAATTATTAAATTAATGTTAACAAACAGTACTATTAACAAATTTATATTTAAATAAATCAACTTAAAGGAAACTTCTGGAATGTCATTTTTTGGGATAAATTATATAAAATATTAAATATTTTTTAAGTTTATTTATTTGAGCAATTAAAATTTTGATGACACATTCGGAATTATATATATATTTTTTCTTTTTAATTTGCATCTATTAGATTTGCAATCACTTTTGCAGCAGCATACATAGCCTTGGCCTCTAGGAATTGATGACATTCTTGCACATTCTCTAAGCAAAATTTTTGCACCCGATACATCTTTAACAGAAATGAAGTTTTCTTTACAATTAGTAAATTGGTTTCCGGAATATAATAGGTTAATATGCCATGTTTGGTCCCAGTTTGTAAAGGTGTTTATCTTCAACCGCAACAACGACTCGTAAAATATTTTTTTCGTCATTGCGAACTCGATCTACATCTGGTGCACGAATCCTTACTCTGTCACGAACGTTAGCTGCTGGATATTTGAAATTCGATGTATCAATAATTTTTTCTGCTTGCATTTTAAGAATAGACAAAGCGATTTCCCTTGTTTCAGACAAACTTATTTTTTCTTCTATTTTTGGATCAACTGTATGGATTTTTTCTTCGTTATTCACCTACTCTGTAGTACTAATGACGTCGTGGTTTTTAAAAATCAGCATAGGTTAGATCTTTCTCATACGAAAACGATGTAGATCTTTAAACTTCATCAGTTATATTGCTATGTGAGAGCGACATTATCAAAAAATCTTTTATAATGTTATCTTGAATAACACTCGATCCTCTAGAGTTTGTGCAACTTTGACTTTCTTTATCGTCGTTAGTTTTAAAATGATTCTGTAAATCTTCCTTCATATTAACGTTGGTCAACTATTTGCCAAGTATAAAATTCTTCAGTCCAATTGTTATCATTATTCTAAACATGGCCTTATATGGCTGCAGTTTATACTAATATGATTTGCTCGATTTTTTATCAGTTGTACAAAAGGTAATCCTTCCGAACCATTTGTTAGTATTGTTAGTCTCCAACCAAAAACTATACACATCTTTATACTGAACCGTGACTTTGTGAGTGCCTGAGCATTCCATGTATCATTTTTAACTCGGGCCACATATTACACAGTTCTTTAATGACATTATTGGAATTCTATGCCATTATCGCTTTGTAGAATACTCGGTGAACCGAAAATTATAAAAATATCTGAAAGATCATAGACTACATCCTTTTGGTTTTTAATGGTCGTAGTTGAACGAATTTTGTCAGGGTCTTGGTACACTATAGATTTATATTGCTCATTGGCTTGCGGCTGCATATCTACGAGTATAAGGTACACTTGGCGTGTTGAGTTCATTTAATTATTAACTCATTTAATCGGTTGTTGAAGCGGTTATTCGTATCACTTAATGATTGCTCCATGATCATTATTTTTTTTTAAAAAAAAGTAAACATTATTTTAAGAGGCAAAAATAAAATTAAAATGTCGCACAAGATTAACTACTGGCCGCGTAAATTTAATTTGGTATTAAATGCAATATGCAACCCCGACTCAGACACGAATGCTGATTAATTAGAGTATGTCGGATGATCACTCCTCAAGGTATTATCACTTTTCCCGACATTTTTGCATGTTAACAATAAGACGAACTCAATTTATTAATGATTGTTTATGAGCAACATTCTAAAAAATAACCTACTTTAAAGGCTTACATAACCTAATTATCGATTGAGATATTTTGAAGGTAAAGTTTTTTTTTTTTAGTCGTGAAGGAAGTTTTAACTATTTTAAATTTGTTATGGTAGTCAATTTATACCATGATGAGGTTATAGACCGTTTGATTGATCTATTTATTTAATGTTTACGTGGTTGCTAAGGAGCATTGAAATGAATGGCAAGTGGAAAACATTTTGATGTAAAAACATAAATATTTATTTAGATATTGAATAACGAATTTTAATTGTCACGTACTGTATACCAAATGAACAACAAATACAATGCAAATGTATCACGATTATAAAACTAAATGTAGTAATAATTGCTGAATTAATTACTGCTTAATTTATTAATGAAGCAAGAAGTAAAAATCGTTTTCTTTCTTTTCCGTCTAAATGCAAATACAGTACTTTCATTTAAAAAAAATATACAGTATATTAAAATATTATCAGCTGCTTTCTCGTAAAAGCTAGAAATTGAATATTTCCTTTATTGAAAAATATAATTAAATCAGCTATTAATAATTAATTAATTCGATATCTAATTTTTATTTTATTCTAATTTTAAATGATTTTTATAATGACATATATTTAACTAATGTAATTGAAATTAATTATTTAACGTTTAAAATTTGAATTAATTTGATTAATGATGTAAATTTAGATTTAAGAAGTGTAGCATGTTATACTAATGGCTAAAATTTGGCAGGAGGATATATTTCTGCGAAGATCTAAGAGTATTGGCTAGTTTCCCAGCGGATATCAACCTACAGGGAACTACAAATTCGTATATCTGACAACTAAATTCTCTTTTAGTATGCTATGACAGTTTTCTAGTATGTTTAAGCAGAATCACCAACTATTAACAATATTTTACGCTTAACAAATTAAATTTTTTCTTGTTTACATTGACTATAATAACAATTAAAAGAAAAGAATTTGATATTGAATTTTGAAAGAAATTTAATTTATTAATATTAAAAAAAAAGTAACAACAAAGTTAAATCTAACTTACATTTTAAGCTATTAAATTTGTTTTTCATTATTTATTTAAATTTTTCTAAGTTTACTTTTAGAACTTATCTGAGAAATCTGAAAATATACATTATACAAATACATTAATAATAGTGTAAAATCAAAATTTTATACGAAAAGATCTATAAAAATTTATTATTAATGTAGTTACCTAATAACAAAGTTCACAAATATCGATTACTAAACATCTTAAAAGTATATGTAAATTAGTAAAGTAAATATAAATTGTTATATAAATAGGAAAGGAAAAAAAAACATTGTTTCGTGTAAAACTTGAATTTATATATGTTTATATATATTGTATATTAACGTATATATATATAAAAGATCGTATATTTTATCCATTTATCAAAAAAAAAATTTTAAATGGAAGTAAAACGTATTGTTGTATAAATTTTGATTAATCGTGTACGTAATGGATTCCTTAAAGTATTGACACGAATTCTTTTATTAAGAACTTCTAGTACAAAGTCTAAATATTCCTATTTTACTCTTCTTTTTACCTCAGTGTTTTGAATATATTAATGTTAAGTATCTTAAACTTTCAAGGTAATCGTAGTTTATGAGACCTTCAACTTTTCATAGTTCATTCATTGAGAAACTTGAATAGAAATAATACGAGTGTACTGTACTACATGTTTTGATATAAAAACAAAAGCTAATTTTATAAACGATGCTGCTTTAATCGTGATAAAATCATTTTATTAATTTTTTTAAACATACGGGTAGTCGATTTTAAAACGAATTTTATATTGCCGAAAGCAATATATATATTTATTTCATTTACATTATATATCAATTCAATTTCGTTATATTTCATTGTGTACAGATTTTTATGATAGTAATTTTAAATCCAATGGTGCATGCAGATGCATGCTGATAAATTAACGTGCCCGAGGGTTGCATTTTACGTTTATTGTAAGAAATATTCGTGTCTATGGCTTGTAAAGGTAGCACGATTGGGTCACAACTATCTCACTGATTATTAGTTACGAGTTTTTATTGAACAAATAACGGGTTTTTCATATATTCTGTAATTTATATTGTTAAATATAGTATTAGAATAAGATTTGTAATGAATTGTTGTAATTTTTGATCTAGTTAGAATATTTAGTCGATAAAATAGAAAATTACAATATACAGAATAATAATTATATGCGTTATTAATGTATGTTTAAATGGAATTATTAATGTAATATATATTTTGTACGATTAGATGGTTGTTTTAATGGATCCTCATGCCGGCGATGCCACGGATATTCTTCGAGCAAAAAGGATTCAAGATAAAAAATATCTTTTCGATTGGGCGTTTGATGACAAAGTTACGCAGGTAAATTTTATATTTAAAGTAACTAAATGATAAAAATAAATTATTTAAATTAAAATAATAAAAAAACTGCTTCTAAGTTTCAAAAGAATTAAAAACAATTTGAAGTATTCTGATAAGTAAATAATTCATGCATTTTATCGTAGCATTCTCACTGAACCGTGTAGGAACTTTGTGGCTGTTCGTGCGTTGCTGTATCTATGGTGATGTCCTTTGACGTCTAACCAAAATATTATACGTTTACTAATCGTTTCGAAAAAAAAATGTTTACGTAAAAGTCACTTTGCTAAAGTTATTTTTAGGGAATTCATTATTATATAGAGACAAAAAGATTTTTTTATGACAAAAAAACTTTTATATATTAGAATACTACTGAAACTTTGCAGTCATCGTTCAATTAATTTATGAATAAATTAAGGTCCTAATTAAAGCTATTTCTGTTTTGTTACATTACAATTTTATACATTTATTAAAGTTTTTTTTAGATTTGGCTTTTTTTTATACGGTTTCTAGCTATTGCGTGTCTAGAAATTCTAAGGTCAAGATTAATGATTTTCTCTTTAGTAAAACACGTAAAGTCTTGTGGAAAAAAAATTCTCCAAGTTTCAATCGTCCGTGACTGTTATTTCTTTCTGTATATCTTGAAATGCGTATATTTATCACGATTCGTTTGTAATTCTGCAACGTTCGTGTATTCATTTTTAATTAAACGATATTTTTTTAAAGGTTCGTCAATGAATCTTTCTATGCAAAAAGTAATAAATTTTAACAAAATAATTTTAAAATGTGACTGCCTACCTCCTACCTTTTACTCAAATTATTTTATATTTAATTACAGTATTAAATTTAGAATCTTATTCTAATACGATAAATCGTTGAAGAGTTTGATAAATATAGAAAGGAATATTTTATAACGTTATTATGTTTATCTAGCTATTACCGTTTCAAATTATCTTGTAAGCAAAATGTTGTGTAATATTGAATTTATTAAACTTGATAATTACAATTAATGTTTAAAAATATTTTTATGAGAGAAGGATAATATATATTATGTTAATTAGGAATTAGTATATGAGAAAACTACGAGAGAGCTTGTAGAAAGCGTTTTAGATGGATATAACGGTACAGTTTTTGCATATGGTGCCACAGGTACGTCAGTTTTTATCATCTAAAATCAAGTTTATGTTACATTAAAGCAGTTGATTAATTATTTAAAGGTTCCGGTAAAACTTATACTATGGTTGGTACTAGCGAAGATCCTGGAATAATGGTATTTGCGTTACAGGATCTGTTTTATTATCTTGAAAATGATAGAAACAAGAACACTTACGAAGTAGCAATGTCTTATTTAGAGGTATTAATTATAATTATATTTAATCACTTACTTTTATATAACATTTAATATATCATACAGTAAGTATATAAGTTTCTTTTTACAGATTTATAATGAAAATATTAGGGATTTGTTGGTGCCAAATTCGGGACATTTAGAATTAAGAGAAGATTCTAAAGGTAATCATCAAGTAGTAGGATTATCAGAAGTTTTAATTAATAATTCGGAAGAGGTAAGTTTTAAATTTAATTAAATAAATTTTTTTATTTTTCTAATAAACATTAATTAATTATGACAAAATATATTGCATTAGGTAATGGAATATTTAACAAAAGGGAATCGACAAAGAACTCAAGAACCAACTGGTGCCAACGAAACATCGTCTAGATCCCACGCTTTATTAGTTGTACAGGTAACGAAAAAAAGTCAAGTGCATGATATGGCTCAAGAAATCAAAACTGGAAAATTGTACATGGTAGATTTGGCTGGTTCTGAACGAGCATCACAGACACAAGTAAGAAGTACACAAAATTACAAATAATACATCTTTATTTTACTCTAAGGATAACATTCTCACATAAAGGATAATGTAGGCCTATTTTTGTATAAAACTGAAGAGATGTCTTAATAACACGAAAATAATTTTTTGTGTTATTGTTATTTCATTCGACAGACACGACGAATTTTATTTTAAAATAAGGATAAACATTGCTATTAACTATCTATTTTTAAAAATTAAACATTTATTAACGTTAGTGATAGTCAATATGAAAATTTTGTTAAATTCAGTTAAATCTGCATATTTTTTCCTTTTTTTTCATTTTTAGAAATCGTATAAAAATCTATTAGTACACTTTAAATCAATGTAATTACAGTAGAATGTCGTTTATCCGAATCAATTGGGGACTGGGGTTGTTCGGATAACTTATTTTTCGGATAACCGATCATGTGCGAAAAAATATATTAACCTATCCCATGTTGAAATTTTTCTCCGTTGCGTGTCGCTTCGCGTTGAATTTTCGTCGATGTTAAGCCTAACATAAACTTTTTAAAATAATAATCGTGGTTATTGTATCGTTAAAAATGATTTTTTTATGTTTTAAAAACGAAATAAATACATTGAAAGATATAAAAACAAATAAAAATTATACTTTAGGCCGACTGGAATTCTTTCGGATAACCGACTTTCGGATAAACGACGCTCTACTGTATAGCACTTATTTTAAATTTGGCATCCTTATTTATAAAATTGCTGTAGTAATTTAGAAGTACTAATGTTAACTTATTCATCTGACATTAATGAAAATTATTATCGAATTAAAACTTTTCAATTGTAACTTAAAATTCTTTTGTTCTTTAAATCGTTCATTCAAGTTGTTTACATTTAATTTTCTGAAGACTTTAGTACGGAAACCTTTTCATAACCCGAAAATGCTTCCAAAATTTGACACATCTATTGCAAATAATATCGATAATACAGTACTGACACAGCAAAACGGCGTTCTCTACTTTCCGCCCTTACAAAAAGGTGACATATTCATGGACGTAAGCAATATCGGATTTATCTCGTTTTGCAATTTGCAAGTTGGATACGGCATGATTCGTACCTTTGCAACAATGACGTATACTTTTGGGATTCTACTGCACCAAGGAAAGTATTCCAGGCAGGATTCTTCACTCCTACCTCTGGACTGAGAATGAAGCAGGGAAAGGTGCTAACGAAATACTGTATCGAGCCTTCGAAATAGCGACACTACCATCAGTTTGGAAGAATACATCAAGGTCCTGCGGAAATGTGGAATGGTTCAAAAGCTTATGCCAACTTCCCCAGTTACATTTCCGAGCAGCTCCCCAGTTACATTTCAAAAAAGAAACCAATAAAGCACTGAAATGAAGCAACACTTCAAAATGTCCGATATGCGGATGATTCTGATCACAGACCGAGACGTTGACTGTAAGATAAAATACACGAGAAAGTTCTGCAGACATACGATAATCAACAAACGGACAAAGATCCAGACTATAAAATTTACGGATTTGACACGAAACTATATCCGAGCAAGATCACGAAACCATTTCGTGAAACCAGACTTCTATAGAAATGCTCTGAAAGACATAAAAATTTATATTAGAATAACACTGCTCCTTTGTAACAGGGTTTTCTGTGTTATAAACAAACAGAACACAAACCCAAGCAAAGATATCTTCATTTAACAATACTACCGATAATAATACTTTTTAAGACATTAGTATTATATCTATCACGCTGTCATTTTTCTGTGAATAAAAGTTATCATCATTGAAACTAGTAAATAATTAAGTATCCTAGGAAATACATGTATTTCCTAAGTCTTTTAATGCTGATTCACGCCGTCTTTGCGTTTATTAAGTATTTCGTTCTCTACGGACGAAAATCTATTGTGAAGGGAAAAACGCGTAAAACACACGTTAGTTTAGTGTTTTGCTTAGTCTGGCCAAGTATTATCAAGTTAGTCAGGAAAACAACGAATAACACATAGAGAAAATTCAAAACGAAATATATCAGAATTAAAAAAAGTATTTTATTGGCATAACTTAAACTATTCAACATAAGAATATTCGTTATAATTCTTTTATTTTGCTCCAAGTCTTTACCTATTTTTGATTAATCTTTACAGGAGAATAGACATATTATTTCGAGAAAAATCAATATTTTTTATAAATTGAAATCACACAAAGCACGTTTTCCACCGAGTCCTCCAAATATAGTGTTTGTATGTAGACCTACTGAAAAAAATCATTTGCACAGTAGAGCGTCGATTTTCCGAAAGTCAATCATCCGAAAAATTTCAGTCGGCAAATTTAAATTTTCGCCAGTGCTGTGGTGCTTCAATCTTTGGCTATGTCTTGGGCTACTCAAATATTTTACGTTTTTGTTATTAAATTAACATTTGAAGTATAAATTTTTATTGTTTTTATATTTTTCAATATATTTATTTTGTTTGTACAATATAAAAAAATAATTTTTAACGATACAATAGTCTTTGCTAGGCTTAACATCGACGAAAATTCAACGCGAAGCGACACACAACGGAGAAAAATTTCGACATCGGATACGTTAAACTATTTTTTCGTACGTAAATCAGTTATCCGAAATATCAGTTATCTGTACAACCCCAGTCCCCAATTGATTCGGAAAATCGACGCTCTACTGTATTTTATTATTACTAAAATTTTATGCAATGGGAGAATCCTATCGTCCATTAGATCATATTGAACTTCGATTTGTGAGAATTAATTCAACTGAACTTTTTATTTTCTTTATTTTCAAAAATTATTTTGTTGTTGTTTTACGGATCTTAATGCCAATGAATCGTGTCATTTTTATAAAATAGAATAAGAAACTAAACTGTACTAATTTACTTACATATTTATTATATTTTAAACAGAATACAGGCAAAAGATTAGTGGAAGGAGCCCACATCAATAAGTCACTTTTAGCTTTAGGAAATTGCATTAACGCTTTAGGTAAGTTGTAAATATTCTTCTCTATTTCAAATTATATTCGTCTATAATGCCATAGTGATTAATTTTAGATAAAACTCTATTTTTAACCCTCTTCTCTCCCCCTGGGGGAGAAAATTTCCAAAAATCCTTACTTAATATGCATTCTCGTGGTGTACCCTTTGTACCAAATTTCAACTTTCAACTCCTAACCGTTTGGGCTCTGCTCTTATTATTATCATAATCATTGTTATCTATCCATTTCGATTGTATTATAAGATAATCAAAAGCAAAAATTTCGAAACTCAAGTTAAAAATAATTCTAACAATAATTGTTGACTTAAATTGTTGTTTTACTGTTTACTATTTCTTACTATTATTAACGAACCATTCTGTATTTGAAAAATTATTTTTAGTGATTTAAAAAAAGTTTAACGTTAAATACAAATGAAACCATTTTAAAAATGTTAAAGAAAATATTTTAAATTACAAAATATAGTAAATAGACGAATTAGAAAGTTCATTTTTCAAACAGTGGATATATAAAATGATTTAAATCTTTCCTAGAATGAAAGATTGTATCAATGAATAATGAAACAATTAAATTATTTCTGTTGAAACACGTTCCATCTTGATATACATGTCTAACTTGAAATGTATTCTAAATAATTTCTTTTTTACATTTAAGGCATTTTCATCATGTTTAATTGTATTCGAGATTCGTTTAAAAAATTCAATTTTTCATCAAATATACTCTGTGAAGCTCGATAAAATGCTTTGTTATTATATTGTTTTTTAGGGAATATAGGCCTATATAAGCGTTATTATTTTGGAAATAGCCTTTCACTAATCTCTTTAATATGATTATTGTTTGTTTTCTGATCGATAGATACAGATCAAAATTTCATTCGTAATAATAATTCCTTTCAAATCACTGCCAAATCAATCCCAACCTCAAATTCATTTGCCTTTTAAATTGCTTTGAAATATAATGTGTTTAAAAATTTATAACAATGAAACGATAATTAAAGTCGTGTTTATATTATTCATAAGTGTATTTTTAAATAATTCAATCAAGCACGTTGCAGAGTGACGCGAATACGTATTTTTCGAATCTTAAAATTATAAAACTTTAGGCATTATAATGATAAACAGTATTACTAACATGCTCGTAGCAGTTTGAAATTTTTAAATCTATATATTAGGTAAGTTGTTTTATAACTAAATTGAAATTTTATGATGGAGTTAATTCTAGCGAGTTGCTCGTGAACGCTTCTTAGATCACACCGTGAAATTCAAATGAGCAAGATAAAGGTCCTACTAAAAAAGACTTTAGCTTGGTTACTTGCTACTTTAATTTATTGGCTGAATTAATTATGAAAAATGTGGAATGTAGAGTCTTTACTGTCTCCTCATAATGTAGTATCCACTCCCCTATATCCGATACATGGACAATACAGTATCTTGTTAGTACCATCAATAAATTTTACTCCGGAGAACGAGAAAGATGACAAAATTGGAATTTTAGATATTTACATTTAAGGAGCTATCCTTAATCGTTTATCATAAATTCAACCTAATTCCTTATGTCATCTCTGTTACATCTTTTCAATCATCTTGTTACATAAATGCAGCTATAACTACCCTTATATTCTGTGCTTACTTATTTCCTCGCTCCCAACACTTAGTGAATAAGAAGCTACAATATATTGCTGCAGCGATGAACAGGACAGGATATTCTTTTATTCATCAATACTAGGGTCTTAAGGTCACTGTTTCCACCGTCTACCTTATATACTAAAGGATTTAGAGTTTGCAAAATCTTTCATCCTCTATTTAGGGACTTTCGTTACTCATCATTTTCATTTTCAAAAAATATACTATCACCCTGCCCATGAAAACGCAATTACCCTTGTATCGAATCCTTCCTAATTATATGAGATCTGTTATTATACGATTCAAATGAAACATTTGCAAACGGGTTCAAAATTATATTATATTGGAGTCTGGCGTAACACCACGATGACATTTTGGATAATAGATGCGCTATGAGCTTTCCAAGATATTGGTAGAACATGATTATATTCCCCTATATTCAGAAGCCTCATTACTATGACGATCGTTATATACATCAACTACAGACAGTTGTAATAGAACAGCCGGAGCTTTGGGTGTAGAGGATTTGATCCCGGGATCTCGAAAATCGGGATCCCGGGATCCCGACCACTTTTCAGTCCCAAAATTTTCGGGATTAAGTTTTCCTAATCCCGAGATTTTCGGGATTGACATCATTTTAAAAAAGTTGCAAAATAGACTGCATGAAGCGAAACGTTCAGTGCCAGTGCTTTTAACAGAATTGCTTGCCTATCATTTTAATATAAAATACAAGAAATTTTATTCCAAGCAAGCAGCAGAAATTAACCTAGCGGGCTTGCGATGCTTGCTTGGAATAAAACTTCTTGTATTTTCAACTAAAATGATAGGCAAGCAGTTCTCACTGGGTTACTTGGTAATATACTTCATTTTTGTATTTTTGAATTTTCGCGGGCGCCAATCGATTTTCTGGCGCAGTCGAGAGCACTACTCAGTGCGTTTTACCTGTCAATGTGTCAGCCATCTTGTTTTGCCAGTGTGGTTAATATAGACCCGACGCCTCTCGCTTAGGGGGGTCGACCTTAGGTGAAAAGGTTACGACCCCCGCCTTGCCCGTGATCTGTCAGGATGATGCGAGAAAGTCTTTTTACGTTTGGGAGTAGTGGTTTGCTGGATGCTGAGAGACTCACACAGAGACCGAATTTACAAAATTAACGTGTTTATTTTTAGAAAGGCATGCTTACAATGATCGAAACAATCGGGATTGTAGCCTTTACTCCTACAATCCCGATCTGTGTCGACCGGACTGTTTTCTTCCAACCTCCCCGTGTCCTCGAAGCTATAACTAGAACGGGCTTATAAGTATTTACTAACGATTCCTCCAACTTCCATCAAACCTAAACGCGTTTTCTCAGCAGCTGCATATATGTGCAACAAATTGAGAAGCAGACTTGGTGATGAGACACAGGATGCGTTGTTATTTCTCAGATCATATTTTCGCAATTCAAATTAGAATGTTCCTATTAGATTAGTTTTCTTTATATTTAAGAAAAATGTGACTGATTAATATTATTTTTAAATACTTTTTGCTAAGAAACTTATCTTACTACCTACTTACTAGGTTGCTATATGAAAGTAGTCTATTTAGTCGATGTTAAGAGAGATTTTTGTTAATTTTCAACGTTTATTTGCATAGTTTGTTACATAAAGGTTTTTTCAATTTATGTGAGTTTAAAGAGATCTCAGTGATGCTTAAAAAAGAATAAATTTAACATGAAGACTGAGTGATTTTAAGTCTGGTTAGTCTGACTCTGAGTCTGATTAGTTAGAGTGATTAAATTAGCTAGGTGTATACTGTAAAATATGTTGATTTTTGTCTAAATTTTGATTTGATTTCTGTAAGATTTTCTTATTTTTTATTAACCCTCAATACCGAAATAATCCCGGGATCCCGGGATTGACTAAGTATAATCCCGAAATCCCGGGATTAGAAATAAGGACCGGGATCGAATTCCCTATTTGGGTGTCACTTTTGGTTGTAATGATTTCTGCCCCTATAGAATTCAATCCAAATCTGTCCCATTTCGGCCGAATAAGTTAGTAAAAAATTTATTTCGACGTTATAACTTTTTCGTTACTTGCCTGATAAATACTTTGTAAGTTTTTTTAATAGATTATTTTATTTATTAAATGTATTTTACTTTAATAAAAATCATTTCAACACCTTTTTTCAGCTGATCGGTCTGGTCCCAGATATGTCAACTTTAGAGATAGCAAACTTACTCGTCTTCTAAAGGAGCCTTTATCAGGAAATTGCAGGACAGTCATGATTGCTCATATTAGTCCCGCATCTATTCATTACGAAGAGTCTAGAAACACACTTTTGTATGCGGATCGAGCTAAAAACATTAGTAACAAGGTATATAATGTAGAAGACAATATATTATGTATTTCGTTTGTAATTTATATTTGAATAATAACAGCAATTATTTTTATGAATTAGTAATTCTGCCGGATAATTAAATAATATATCAACATATTTAACTTAAACAAATCGTTTATTTTTCAATAGAAAGGCGTTTGCGTAAAATTTGATTTGATATTTCATATTACGTTGTATTTGTTTAAGTAGATAATAACAAATATTTAATCTTGATTTAATATAAATAGTTATTGTAAACTTCGTTTTCTTTTTTTAGGTACGAAGTAACGTGAATGATGTAACCTATCACGTAGCGCAATACAAAACTATAATTTCTGAACTTCGCCAAGAAATTCAAAGGCTACAAACTAAAATTGAAAAACAAGAGATTAAAAGGACTCGAGATACAAATTCTACAACGAAAGGTATAATTAAATTTTTTTAATATCAAAATAAACAGCAATGCATAATTCATCGTCTTGTGCATCACCAACTGCGTAATTACCATCTTATATAAATAAAAAATTGTTATTAATGATGCAAAACAAGTTTCAAATTATCCATACTTTACAAAGAGATTCTAAGTTCACCCTACATGCAAATAATAATTTAGTTTATTTTATTTAATTTTTTCAATAAATAGTTATTCAAAGAAAAAACTTAATGAAAGAATAACGCAGGATACTGTGTTTAATCAAAATTTTCTACTCTCTTATTAAGTTTAAGCACGTAGGAAACAACGAGAATGTAGTGTTAAAAAAAAAGAATACATTAAAGACGATATAATAAATTGTATTATTTTCCTACTCCCATTAAATTAAAACAAATTTTTATGTTAATAACGTCAATAATAATATCAATAAAGAAAAAAATGTATATTTCTTTACTGAACTAAAGGAATATATTCAATACATTATTTAGTTCTATTGATAGTATTCGTTTAACTAATCGAATAGTCAGCTGCCCAATTCTTAAGCCAATCGTAAATATTGTCTCAAAATTATTATTTTAAACGTTGTGATTCTTAATATATCGTGATAATTCATTTACTGTATACAATATATCAAAATTAGCAGCAATGTTTTTACAGAAAGACGTCTGGCATTGATATAATACTCGTACAATAGAGTCATGTCATCAGTCGTCATTACATTCTTATATATGATTATACAATAAAGTGCTGCACAAAACGATTTTACAGTATTTATTTATGTAGGTCTTGTGTGTACGTAGTATTAATATACAGTTTAATTCGGTTATTATAATCACGGATAATGTTATCAATCGGCTATTATCATCATAATCATCCGGTTTCAAAACACTATTAACATTAGTGAAGAATAATCCGCCTATTATAATCAAACTTCGGCGATTGTTGTCAATTGTAATAATTACTCTTGGGGACAAAACGATAAGAATTCTTTAAAAATTCGTACTAAATGTACGTTTTCTTTGAAACTTACTTTTAATTAAAACATACTTTTTATCTTTTACATACTAAACTGTAAGGGCATAACAATAATTCGTAGAAAATGCTTATACAGTACTGTAGATCTTTACTTGAAGTGTGCCTTTGGGGATGAGCATCCGTATTGATTTCTCTACATTAATTTTGTGACCTGTTGAGTTAAAACAATTGTTTATAAGAAATGTAGCATATATAAATGTGTACAATTTGTGATAAATATAAATTGCACACATTCGTACTATAATTATTTATAATAAATTGAGTTCAAGAATGAAAATTTTTTACCCTCTGTTTAATATTATCACACAATAATTTTAATTTAACATATTCAGAGAAATACATTAAGAAGAGAACAAAGTTATTTATTTATAGTTTGATTTGGAGGAATAATTTAAAGAATTAGTCTGACAAAGAAACTAGATTTAAGGTTATGTGATTTCTAATTTAACCTAAAATATCGTTTATAAATATTTTATAGAAACATTGTCGATTGTAGAACATTTCCAAGTTATTTAAGAATCTGGGACAATGGAATAAATTAAGATAGTGCCAAATTTTCTAGAACATTATGCTTTAGGAAATCGAAAAGGTTCTCATATAATAGGCTAGGTTTTTAATGATAAAATACAATTAATTTAATGTAGCGTATTGTCTTTATTTAGTTTTATTTATGCTCTTATTTTATTATAATAAATTACTTTAATTAATATATTACGAAGACGAAGTTAAAAAATTAAGTGACGACGAAATGAAAAAATTAAAAGAAGATTTAGTATCTAGTTTCACACGTCAAATGGAAGTAAGGTAAGAATTACATTTATATCAATACTAAATATCTATAATTAATAACTTTAATACGAAACATTGGTATAATATATATATATATATATGAATCATTTTCAACAGGAAACACATGATGGATATTGATAACAACTTGCTTGCCTTAGGAGTAGAGTTTGATAAACTGGGAATGGTATTAAATGAGTATGTTTTAATAACTTTATCTTAAAAGATATTGTTAAGAAATTAGTAAAATAAAACATAACTTGATTATATTTTAGATGGGAAACAGAAAAAGCCAAAGGAGAATTAATTGAAAATTCGGAAATTGGTAATTCGCCCTTGTATTTTCATTATTGTATATACTTTTTAACATATTTAGTATGCGATAAAAATGTATTTGCAAATTACGTTTAGAAAATAGTGATAATAAAAGAAATGCAAATCAACAACCACAATATGTCACACAAGCATGGGAGGATATACAATACGTTCGTCAAGAACATGACAGATTTATTGAGTTAAGAGAAAAGGCAGAAAAAGAATTTATGAATTGCAAAGAAAGAACTTATAGATTAACTGAAGTAATTTTTAGTACTTTATTTAAAATTGATGATCTTATTTTTTGAAATTAATGTCATCTAAATCGTTTTCTTTCAGTCTCTTCCGGAGAAAGCAAATTGTGAAGAGCAACGAGAACTACTTATCTTACTGACAAGAGTTCATAAATTAGAAATCGAAAGTATCCTTTAAATGATATTTTTAGAATCATTACTGATATTTAAAAATAATCAACGGTGATTTACTTTCTTTTCTGTGAGTAATTCTAAAAACCATTACGAATTATTGATTTATATTATTTGCTCTAAAACAATTCCAATTTCATACAAATAAAGAATATCGTCTAGTTTCTAAATCGAAATGATATAAACTCAGGAATGATTTTTTTATGCATTAAATTTATATTAGACAAATAAATTCATAAGCTTAATAATAAACTTGTTATTTACGAAACCAAGAATCAGATTTTGATGAAGATTACCTTTGTTTTTTTCGGCCTAAAAGTCTCTTTATGATAATTTAAACAAAAGTAAAACTATTTCTTTAGGTCACATTTGATTGAAACATATAATTTGAAATCGATTGGATCTTTCGTGATTATTATCGATTCCTGTTCGATAAATAATATCTAGGATTACTTTTTTTAATTTACGAAGATGGATGACCGTCATTAATTTTAACCCAATACGATCTATTTAAAGTATCAAATATACGACTTTTCCATAGTCATGCATATTTATATAATTCTTAACCGATAAATACATCATCGTAAGCAATAAAAAACAAAAGAAAAAAAAAATAGACAAATTCGTATTTCTATTTTAAGACTTTAAGTGACAATGTTTATCGTCCCAGAATTTAGATCATTTCAAAAACATATCAAATAACATCACAATATGTTAGTGTAATAAGTGAAGGTTTTAAATTCAATATATATTAAATTTAAAGCCTTTACTTATTACACTATTCCAATAATGATGAATTCATTAACATAAGTAAATATACAGTGACTTTTGATCACCCTGTATATTATATACCTGTATATATCACCCTGTATATTGTATTACAAACAATAAAATAACCCGTTTCTGTATTGAGACTATACTAATGGGCTATGTGTGTTATGAAATGGTTTACACTTCTCCGATATTATTTATCTGTAGGATACAAAAAATAACGCGATTGACGAAGACAGTCCACATACTCTTCTGAATGAAATGCTGCCATGGCTGCCCATTAGGAACATCAATAAGAAAATTCCATAAACAGGTCAATTAAACAAAATAAAACTTGCCAATTTTTCAGGTGAAGTGTCATTTTCAACGTCTACAATGTAAAAAATCCAGCAACATTTAAATCTGCTTAGTGATGCCATTTGTAATTATATTTTATTGATGTTAAAAACCTTTTTATATATTTAATTATTATAAAATGTCAGGAAAAAACTTAATTTTGAAATGGGGATGTGTTCAATAAAAATTGTAAATGCTAATAACGAGTAAAATCGTCATTACTGGAGATAAACACACAATACCACCCTTTATCTCCCCCACCCCGTCGACCTTTAACCATCAAAATTTAATAGCACCAATCCCCTAATACTCAAACCTCTGCAAAATTTCAGAAATTTTCGACAAAAAGCTTCAAAGAGAGTAAACGAAATCGTGTCACACACACAAACATCCATACATACAGGAAATACATACAATTTTATTATATATATTTCATTGTACAGTGCATAAGAATTATCGATATATTTGACTTGACTTGTTAGAAATGGAAATGCAAGCTGATCAGTTATTAAGAGAACACGAACTTCGACAAAAAGATTTGATGATTCTTAGATACGATCGGCAAAGACAACTGTGTGATGAAATAATAACTAAACAGAGAGCTTTAATAGATGGTAAGTATATTTAAATAATAAAAAAAAAGTATTATTCTGAAAAAATTATTATTTAAACAGTTTATATTTAATTATGCATTTTTATAATTTAATAAATAAAAAAAAAAACACACATTAATAGAGATGGTTAGGTTGTCGAAATTATCGATTATCGAATCAAATTCGTGACTGTAGATTAGTTTTGTCGGTTTCGAAATCTGTCGATTATAGGTTTCGAATAACGAGATTTATCTAATGATTACAGGTGATCGCAGGGTAAAAAATTGTTAAACATATAATTTGCATGACTAAAACGTTTGGTCAAAATACCAAATGCTTGCTATTGTTTTTCATTAATCTTCCTAAACTTTTTTTTTAATCGTTCTGTCAATTTCTTTAACTTTTCTATCGATTCTACTTACAAACAATTCTTGTTATTAAGTTATTAAGATTTAGATTTAAGCTGACACGAAAATTAAACTTAAATATATATATAAACAATTAAATATTTTCAGTAAAAGCCTAGTGTAATTAAAATAACGACGATAGCAATTTCTATATACAATTAAAACAACTAATTAAGAATTTTAAAATTAGCCCCCAATTACTCTTATAAACGGTGTTGAAAAGAAAACATCCCTAAGTTCCTATTATCTATTTGCGAATAGTGTGTGTGTGTATATATATATTTGTGGGTATGCATACCCATAATAATTAATAAATTAAGTTATTTGTATATTGTGTATGTACCCATAAATACCCATATATATTTATTAATTATACAGAATACACGAAAATAAGATGTTTTAATGAACAATTTATTATTATTTTAGCAATGTCAGAGGGAAAATCAAAACATGGTAAGTTTTGAAAATTAAATTTTAATTAATTATAAATAATAAATAAAATTAAATTCTTTGTCTTTCATCTTAATTTTATAAATAGATAAAATGATTTAACTTTTTAACTTCAATTTCATTAATCTATTAATGTTTTAAGGATTCGAATTCGATGGTTTTGCAAGTATCAATTATACTGATTTTTTAATCAATATGCTGAATTTATAATTAAGCTATTTAAGTAAAAAATAAATCAAAATCTCTGCATTTCGGATGATTAATCTATTTTTACAATGTTTCTGTGTTAAATATATACAGTATATAGCAAGTTTTGCTGTAAACCTATAACAAAACCAATTCTACTATAGACTGTGGGCAACTCCAGTCCCCAAAACGTATATAATCCGGCCCTCAAATATGTATAATAAATGATCCTTGGAATAATATATAATTAGGTTTACTGTAATTTTATTATTATACATCGATTCATTGCGTGTTGCCGAATTTTCGTGTGTGTTTGTGTATGCCTGGTTTTTTTTTCGATCATTTTCGCCGTCAGCACTTTACTGATTAAGAATATTAATGTTTATGCTACAAGTAGATTGTTAATTTAAAATAAACATTAAGTAGAAATAATTTAAAGAACTGATTGATTTATAATTATTTAAAAAAAAAACAATTGGAGAAAGATTATCACTTCCAAGTGTAATTTGTAATAGAATTCTCAGGCTACAATTAAACAAAACAATTTAATTGCGAATTCTGCATACTGACTGAGGATGGAAAAACTAACGTCTCTATTATTATTTTTTTTAAATATCTAATCAAGTGCAAACGAATCACGAATTGAAGGAACTGTATCGTATTTATCAACAAGAACTGCAAGAATTGAATAGCGGAAGAGATTCTGTAGCCAAAAATCTAGAAAACAATTTTTTCAAGGTAGGTTTGTTGTTTAAATAGAAAACATTTTAATCAATTTAAAAATAAATAGAATCATAATTCCAGAATAATTATCTTGGAAGAAGATCTCTCGGATCCAGCGAAAGTATGATGGAGCTAAGCCATTTAGATAACATTAGCCGAAAGAGTAATAATTATCCACCGTTTACAGAGTAAGATTTTCTATTTTTTTTTTACACAATAACTGACACGGTTCTAATTGAAATTAGTACAGAAAACGACCAGAAATAAAATAAAATTATTAAAAATAAATTTATTTTTTGTATCATTACTTTCGTTTTGTTTATTTTTCCTTATTCAAGTCAACTATTCTTTCCATTAGTACTCTGGGGATGCAAAGAGATGAATTGTTACTATATTTTGTTGTGTAAAGCTACATAAGATTTACATTAAAAAATTTCATTTATAGACATTGAAGCGTGCCCTTATGAACATTGTTCAAATATTAAAGATTAATAATAATAATTAGAATTTTTATTATAAAATTTTATTTTAAAAGTAATGTTTTAAACCGCAAAAAATACTTGAAGTTTAAGCGTAAATATCTAACACTATTAAACGTGACAAATACTAATTAAAACGGTTAACCTGCAATAAAAGTTAAGAGTAATTGAATTTGCATTAAATTATTTTCTTAACGTAGTTCTGTGTTTATTGTAAGTCATAGATTTATTAACGCAAGCTATAAGGCATGTCATAAGGGTCTATCTATTACTAGTAAACCTAAACCACAATGGGATCGGAAATCATGCTCTTTTTTTCTAAGAAAAAACTAGTTTTTTTTGTATATTTTTCTCAATACTAATTTTTAAATGGCAAGATTTAATTTTTAATGACTTTTTTTTAACCTTGTAAAATATTCATTCTTTTGCAATATAACTTATATAATAGGCATGTTTTTTATTTGCTTTTGTCATTTTCGTGTTCCTTAATCGCATAATCGACTCTACTATTGATTATAGTCTGATGAAAAGCTCGTCAGAATTCATAGGTAATCCGTACGTTCGCTAGTTCGATACATCCAGTAATCCGACATTAATAATAAATGTTGTAAACGGATGAAATGAATTATGATAGTTCGAACCTTTCCAGCATAGAAGGTTTATCTTTTGTCATGGAAAAGACTTGAACTGTTATAATCCGACACTAGTGGATTCATCGGGTAATACCAAATCATTTCTGCCAATTTCCACTAGTTCAAACGCCAGTTTCTACTAAATTTGAATATCTAGCTCGAACACTGGAGCTTGGGCACGATATTAAAGATTGTTAGGCTACTCAAAACATATACAGCATCTTATAACACAATAAACATTGATATAAAAATAAGTCTCCCCAAATTTCCCATCTAAAATACTGCACTTCTCACTAAATTTCCTACGGTGGCTTGAATTTTCCACTAAATTTAGTGGAAGTACACGACAACGGCAGCGTGCTCGAACGACAAAACGGCGAAAGACAATTCGAAGTTATAACTCCTTAATTAAGGCTCCTAATCATTACCCGGTGCCGTTTTTATGCACATTAGACGGAACGAAATGTGATTTTACATAAAACTCCGGGTGCGCGGTAATAATTTAAATAAGCGGCTATTTTCAATTATTTTTTACGAATTTAAGTATTATACGAGACGAATAAGATCGGTGTTTTCGAAACTATTCGTTTAGATACCAAACGGACGATCGTCTTTTCGCTTTAAGTTCCAGGCCCTTCAGCGATAACGATCACCGATCCGACAGTCACTTGAGTCTGCAAAGTCACTTCAGTTCTGTTCCCGCCTCGCCCACTTCCAAACTTCCGCCGATAAATCGTAAAGAAACGTCCAACATCGCCGTGGTTGCCGCCAAGAGGAAGTCCCAACAAACGGACAAGAACAAACAAGACATTTCCGGAATGAATAGATACTTTACCTGTAAAAGGTAAGGAAGGCCGTCGCTTGCGGGTATTTACGAATAAGATCTGATTAAATATGTTTCAGATCCACTCGAGAGAAGCCGGTGACTAAATCTCCCAACTCTGTTTATATAAAGAAAATATTAAACGTTAATAAAAAGGTGAGACTTATTGCCGTACTGTATTTAACAATAACGTAACAATACGTTTATAAAATAAAAGATTACGACAATTTAAAGTTACTTATTTCTTACTTTTTTAAATTTTTCTTTTCGTTTCAGAATCGCGGATTAAACGAAACGTTTCAAAGGAACGGTGTCTTGCCCGCTTTGAGGAAAAACAGTCCGAAACAAGGTATTTAATTACTATTAACACGGAAGACCACTCTTATTTTTCCATTATTATAAAAACGTTTTATTGACACGGAAAGGTTATTAATTTAAATGTTATAAAGTAGATTACGCCACCGGCGAATTCGAATGGTGTGAAACTTTCGGTGTTGAAACTGCAGTAACTTATATTTCTGAATCTTTATACATTGGTAAAAAAAAAAGAAATTTCCTTAAGTAAAACAAGTGGTAACTTATTCTACAGATTAAATAACAGTCGACCCCCCCTATAACACTGTTGATAATTCCGTTTTATATGAATTCCATGTTATATGAGTCACTTAGATTTTACAAATACGTGAGCCATTCACAGCCCGGCACACGTATTTGTAAAATTTAAGTGACTCGTACAACATGGAATTCACATAAAACGGAATTATCAACAGTGTTATAGGGGGGGGGTCGACTTGTAGAATTTTCTACGCAATAACTTGGTTATAAATATAAGACGTATTTAGCTACGATAATTAATTTTAATAACTTTAATTAGTCATTTGGATTTAGCCCGCTTATCACAAATCTTCCAATCTTCGCCGACTTTCCAGAGTATTAGTTGTAACAGTCGAATTTAAGGACGTGTTCCGTAATATACGACGTCGTCTCCATTTTTTTTTCTATCCATAGAAATGTTACGTCATTATAGAATGTTATTATTATGATGTTTTCGTCACGAGTAATGGCGTATTGCAATTTTACCGGTTCGTTTTACTTGCCGATATTTTCCGATAAAAATTTACTTCTTAGATATTAAATATAGCATCCGGAAGATTACGAAGAGAATGCAAATATTTACGCGGTTTTCTAACGATATACCGTGTGTTGGATGGCTTCCGTAAACCGTCATCGAGCGAGAAATAATTCCGAAATATCCATTATCGTGGTCGAAGAAACGGGATAAGTGCATTGGGACCAGGCCAGTACCTAAATTAACTTTCCAATTGACTGAAAAAAAGGTCACCGGTTTCGATTAATCCGGAGGCGAGGCGTTAGAATTAATTAACGAAAACGTCAAAACGAATGTAAAGTGTAAAAAAAATTTTACAAATAAAAATATAAACGATGTGAAAATAAGAAAACTAAATAACGAAATCGAGCCGTCTGCGCCTTTTTTTTTTTTTTCTAGCCGGCGGGTACGAAAACCGGAGGGGGTAATTACCTCATTTACTTCCTACTGCATCCGGGGACGAGTGAATTATAGAATAAGAATATTTTTTCGAACAATAACTAGTTTTTATAATTCGAATTTATGAACATTCCCGTCGGATAGACAAATGGCCGACTTACGTCATTCCTCCGATTGGTATAAACAATTCCCCGGTACATTCGGGTTATTAATGCTAACGATTACACGCGAGAATACATTCGCTCGTCGGTATCAATGCCCTCGTTCATTATTAATAAGTGTAAAAGTCGATGGGCCGCTTACAATTACTTTTAATTATTCTACGATAAGAATTATTAACGCTTATTTTCTATTAATTATTTATATTTAGAAGAAGAAGAAGAAGATCGACGTTCGAATATAGAAATAACGGAGAAATTAAGATCGCCGACGAAAACACGACCTAAAACGATGGAAGAAAGAGTAGGGGTACGATGATAACTTTTTACATGTAAAGAAAGAACGGTTAATACGTAAAGAGACATTATCGTCACGTCGATTTAATTGCCATGTCATTTATATTTAAAAGATTGTGCCAAAATGACGACGACAAACGTAAATTACTGAGATTACGCGTTAGTCGACGGGCGACTAAAGAAACGATTGTTGTAATATAAGGGTATTTTTTGTCTTATTAATACCGAACGATAGATGGCATTATTCAAAAATTTAAGAAAGGAAAAGATTATTTATTTCAGAAAAAATAAACCTCAAATTCCAAGAACGATTGTATAAAACGAGGCTTCCTTTAGAATAAAAAGTCCTCCCTTTGGTAAAAATCCAGGTATGTTTTTCTTACTTTTATTGTAAATATATAAATTGGAATTTTAAAACCTTAATTACGTTAAAGTCTATCGGTTGGATTAGTCACAATTAAGCGGGTGGCTGACGGTTACGGTTTTTAACCGATAGAAAATTTAAACGTTACGTTTTATAATAAAATCCGAAAGTCTAAGAGAAGAAGTTTTACGCCGTACTTAAACGTCCACACTCGTGACCGTAGACAATTAAACGTCTCTATTTATCTACGTCACCATTTCAATGGCTCGTGGAATATAATAAAATGTAGACGACGGAGACGACCGGAGAGCAATTTTCCGACGTTTAAGATCGACACTTTTTTTGTCCACTCGACACGACACTTAATCAAACGACAGATCCGGTGGGTCGCGCGACCGGTTTTTTACAATCGCTTAATTTAAACTGTCTCCGAGAAAGTGAAAATTTCGTGGATTAATTGCGGCTTTTCGTAATCTTTCGCGGCACGGACCACGCCGGGTTTAATAAGCGCCGTCCATTCCGATTTCGGCCTTTTATCATCGATGTTAACTCCAACAAAAAAGTCCGTCGGAATAAAATAACGGCGGTCGATATTATAATGAGGAATTTAATGGTAAATCGGCGGGGGGTGGGTTTTTCCAACGCCACCCACAAATCTAGGACCGTCTATTTGGGTGGAATGACGGAACCTGGCCGAAATCTTACCGGAGAAATTTGTTTTCCTTCCGAATACGTCAGTGGTAATTAGCGTTTTTTCTTGCGGGAATCTTCCCGTTTTACTTGCCCAAGGTCGTGGCAGCGCCGTCCAAGGTCGTTACCGAACGCCGCGTGGAGAAGCCACGCGGAGGGCCGGCGCGGTCCCGGACCCGTTGGAAAGGGTGGAGGACGCTTTCGCCCTTTACAAAAATACACCGAGAGAGCGTTAAAACACGCTTTATTGTCACCTGCCGGCTACAGACAATGGGTTTAAAAACAATACAAAAAAGGAGGCGAGGATATTCACGTTATTATACAGAACGGACCAAAGGTGGGGCGATTCCCCCGGGGAAGACGACGGGTGGGCGCGGAATTTCCTTTGGGTGGTAGAGAGGGAAGAATCAGAGGAATCGGAAGGGTTTCTTGAAAAAGACCCTCATGGGCTTGGCGTTGGAGACGTACTTGAGAGGGAGGCGAAGAACCTTGGACAGGGCGGGGAAATGGCCGACGATTCCCGAGGAGACGAAGGGCGGAGTGGCGTCCAGGGCTCCGGACAGTATTCTGACTGGCTTGGCGTTGGACAGAAACTTCAGAGGAAGGTTGTAGACGGGCGAGGCCTGCGCGTAGCCCAGGAAGGGACTGATGTAGTTGGGGATCTGCAGGAACCTTCCGCCGGGTGCGGCCCGGACCGCCGCCGTCAGGGCCACCAGCAGGGCCAGGGCCAGGGCGGCCACCGGGCGAGTCGACGATCTGCGGGAGACAAAAAGACCATTAAATTATCCGCCGACGTAATTACGCGACTCTCTGACCAGCGGCTTCCTGTGGGAAAGAGTTTAGCGGAAGTTGACGGGTCCGAATATTCGGGAAATCGGGACGGACTTTTAGCGCGGGACGGACGGGAAGTTTCCGACGAAAGCCTCGAGCTGCGACCCGCCTCGTCCGGACGTCTGATGGTTAGCGACGATAATAAGCACGCGCCGGTGGTTAGTTTCCCCCGTCCCGGCCGAAATACCTCCGAATCTATTTAGCGCTATTTCTTTCCTCGGCGTAAATAATTATCGGTCCCGTGCAAATTTATTCCCGGTTTTTTTCCCTCCTCTCGGCCTGGCCCCACCCGTTCCTCGTCACGCCGACTTTTTCTATTAAGATCCGTTGGGACAGGGAGGGAGAATATTCCCTCGGCCCCCGTTGGCCTCCCCCGGCCCCGGGCCGAGTCCTGCCGAAAGTCGCCTCCGCCCCGGTAATTTAATTATCTCTCGGGAGGAAAATCCGTCCGCCGCCCGGGGGCGGAGCGGGCCGGAACCCCGAGCGGCTACTCGGCTCCCCCGCCGCCCGTAAAGTCCCCCCGAAATCGGAGGTAGAAGGCACCCCGGCGCTTTTGTGTGGAAGAAGTAGGAGGTGGGCCGAGGAAAGAAAACCAAAGACCCCGGCCACCGCGGGGAGAGGACCGGAGGGGAAACAGGTGTGAAAGGTGACGGATCTTTCCCCAGAACTGGGCAAAACCAATTATCCCGGTCCCTTTACAACGGACCTCCCGCGGAATTGGCCCACCAAACCGAGAACAAAACTAAAAATATTTCGCACGAGAAAACTAACGGCCGATACGACGACTCGGTAATCCGGCGTAAGTTACGTCGTCCGTAATTTCCCGGACGGCTAGTCCGTCTTTACCGCGTTTTATATTCCGGGTTTGGCTTTATCCTCGCCTTTTCTTCTTGGACTTTTCCTAAAACCGCTGTAAAAGTAAAGTCGTCGGACCGATTAATTAGCGGAGGGGCGGATGAGCTTACCTGTAAAGCATATTTCGGTCAGGGTGCGTGGCGGGACGATGGCCTACGGTTGCCGACCGGCTCGAGCATATCTGCGACGTAACGCCGGGTGGTGGCATATATCCCTTCCCGCCTCTCGGGGGGCCGACGGCCATTGGTCGCTTCTCGTGTTCTCTCTTTTCTGGTTGGTTGGTTAACGGGACGAATGCCGCGTCCTAACGAACCCGACGTCTCGTTCTTTTATAATTAATTGTTTCTTCGTCTTCTTTTTCGGCGGCGGATTAAATTTGCGAGACGCGCGCTCCCGCCCGACCGGAAAGGTCTTCCACGCGGCAATCCGGCTCGGGCGTTTTTCCGTTTCCGCAGCGCCGGACGTCTGCGGATTAATTAATTTACAGATTGGACCGTTTTCGGTTAAAGAATAAAAGTAATGGGAGAGGGGATGGCGATAGATTTATGGCCATCGGAACGAATGGAAGGGAGAAAATCTAGTTTCTTTCAAAGGACCCCTCGTGCCGGGACACGCCTGGCAAACAACAGTTTCCTCTCTCCGGCTGCCAGCCACTCACTAAGCCCGTAGGAATGCGGAGAATTCCCAAGGCACAAAACGTTTAGTGGAGAACCCGTCGAAGATCTTTTAATTGGAAAAATATAGGAATTTGCGGGGAAAGAAGGCGCGAATGTCAACGTCCTGGCACTCGGCAAAAACGGGACGATAAAAACGGCGGTCGGCGGCACACATCCACGGCGAAAATTACACCCCGGGACTGCAGCACCGACACTCTACTTAAAGGATTAAGAGCCGGTAGCCCCCGGTGGAGGCATGACCAAAACGGCCTTGACCCCGTGCGCCACGGGTCACTCGTGCTCGAATTCGATTTTTTAATCCCGCACTCGCTGCCATTCTTTTTTCCCGGCCCTTCGGATCCTTACCGGCCCCAGGCGTGGCAAACGCCCTTCAAACTATATTTATTACCAGAAAATAATCCCCCGGGGAGGATTAATGCCCGGGATTAGACCGGGTCTTCCTTTCTCCGTCCTTATTAACTTTAATCTTTTCTGACCCGGCCGACCATCTTTATTATTCGTCCGACGAAATTTCTTTGACTTTTCTCGGGATAATTAGCGGATGTTTATTTCTTTTGGCCACTCGCAAGGTCAAGGACGACGGTGATATCATCGGATCTTCGTCTCGAATTTTAAACAGGTGATTCGGACTAAACCGCCGGAAACTAGTCAACTCGACCCGTACTCCGACGTTCCACTTGCCAATTAATCGACCACCTTTTCGGTGACGTACGAACGACCCTGGGCACAAACCGGGCAACGTGTCGAGCGGAGGTGATAACCTGTAAAAATCCATTTAACACCGCCAACTGGCAATAAAATCGGCGGAACAACCGAAAACCTATCATTGCCGGGTTTATTGGTCCTGTTTCTCGATAAGAGACGCGGTGCCACCGACACCTCTTCTTTTTCTCTGCCGTTTTTCTGGCTTTTTAACACCGGCTGCCTTTTGTGTCTGGCTCGTTTTGAATTTTTCGTAACGTCGCATTCGATTTTTGGATGAGTGAAGATGAATGCGACCGCATTTTTCTCCCCAAAGTGCGGAAACGCAAAGGCCAACATTTTACGTGTTTTCGTCTTGGGGGTCGTTCGCTTTTCTCCGGTGGGAATTGAGAGATCTTTCCGAGTCGCTCGTCGAAAGACACGCCATTGGTCAAAATTTTCCAAACTCTTTAGGATAATAACAGTGCCCGACGAATCGTCCCTCATACTTCTATCCGTCTTTTACCCTTTCGAAACGATTGCGCGCCCTCATTTATCTTCCTTAATTATCCCCTCCTATAATTTAATTGTAAACTACGCTAGAAAAATAGCTGGGCGACTTCCGGCTCTCTCGGCTTATAAATTATGTTTTTATATAAAACACGTTATAGTCATTCGATTATCTTTTATATAATAATCGGGCCGAGTAAATTTATACGTTATTTTCGCCAGACAGGCTTTTGGTTTCGAACGTTAAACCTTTCTATCTGTATGGAACATCTCGTTGAGCGATAAAGCGGGGTCTAATAGATAAACTTGTTAGCCACCGGACGATACGAAATTTGCGTTTTACGAGGCTGGAAGATCGTCGAGTCTGATACGAGACCTCTTAACACTGCCTAGACCCGAAATAGAATCGCTTAAAAAGCGTGGAAGGAAGAAAAAAATGGGGATGAGACAATAGATTAGTGCAATTAGGCGACGTCCCGGTATACCGGGGCAGAATAGTTTACCAGTTATGAAGGGAGAAAAAAATATATATATATTAAAAGGTTGGAAAATAATGAAATATTTCGGGATTTCTTGTTTATCGTCCTAACGATGCGATTGTTTTCCATTTAAAAAAGGGTTTTTATAAGTTATTATTATCGTCGTCGTCCCGGAACACGTACCCTTATTGTTTATGTTTTAAACACTCGGTTGGGTGTAAATTGATCCGTCTTAAGTCCTATTGTTTAGAGTTTGGCGAAAATTACTACATTAATAAGATTCTTCTTTACCTT